CCCCAAAGGAACCTGGGACCTTTCAGTCCACAGGCTGACGCTCCATCCACTGAGCCAAACCAGTAGGGCAGTCGGCCAATTATCTTGAGCTTCATCTTTCTCACCAGAAACCGGACACACAGATGGACACATACATGTTTTATAGACATGATGGAGTGCAAACCCAAAACAAGGTTCCAAAAACACTGCCAACATAGTTCACTGTAGAGTATTGATGTGATCAGGTGCCTGCCTGGGAGCTGCGGCTCACTAGCCCAGAACAACTCAAAATTCAAAATCTGAAATCCGGTTTCTACTGAACAGGAATTGCTTTCACGTCATTGTAAAATCAAAAATCATAAATTGGGAACAATCTGTACAGTCATAAAGAATTCACCTTAAGTAACACTGCTTCGGATAGTCCAGAACTAAGTAAATACTGTATTCTGAACTGGTAATTAAAGATATGGTTAGAAACAGTACTAGGGAAATTCTCGGGATCATCAAAAGTCTTTTAAAAAATCCTAAATTGAACGTAAATTGATGACCAGAGACACTCTTTGCTTATCCACTTCACAATATTTTAACAGTGACTATTTCTCTACTCAAAATATTAGAAATAAAAAAATTCTATTTTATTCCTCACAAGAAACTGATGCCTACTACTGATAATTCTGGCATTTTGTGCAACCTTTACATACATTATCAGCCCGATAATAAACGTTCTGTAAATTAGTAGCTACTACAATTTTTTGGCGTTTGCCCATTAACTAGAAGGGAGCTGGAGGTCTCATTTCACTTAAGCCCCATCTGTAATTTCTCAACCAAAGTTCATAACCTCTTAAGAGTGTTCACAAACTCGATCTGTCCTAGTATTCATCCCCAAGTATAGGTTTAATTTTCACTTCCTAACAAAGCTATGTAGAAAACAATTACTGTGTTCTCCCTTTACAACGCTTCTTCCAGAAAATTCCAGCAGAAGTTATATAGGTTATTACCATACCTATAGATATGTCTACTCAAGTCACGTTAAGCAATGTAAGCCCTTAAAACAGTGGAATGTTTATCTCTAGTTGCTTTGTGACGTAAACGTAAAATAATCCGCACTCGCCACTTCAACGTGCAGGAAAAACCCTCTCCAAAACCCGGAATCCGAACCCCAAATCAAAGAAAGCAAATTGGCACAAAACAGCTGCAGAAACAGATCCGGGATGCCCATGTCCAGGCATCACCGCGGAGGCCGTCACTAAAACCCGGTCTCGTTACAGAAAAAGGGGTCGTCCCCTTCCCCCCGGAGGGGCAGGCGGACCCGAACCCACGGCGCTGCGCAGTGTCCGCGTCACGGGAGCCTTCCCCAAACGCTGCGGAATGTGCTCAAGGTCACCGCGAGGAGGTGTCGGCGGGTGCGAGTGCACCCGGTCTCGTCAGAAAAAGGGGTCGTCCCCTTCCCCCCGGAGGGGCAGGCGGACCCGAACCCACGGCGCTGCGCAGTGTCCGCGTCACGGGAGCCTTCCCCAAACGCTGCGGAATGTGCTCAAGGTCACCGCGAGGAGGTGTCGGCGGGTT